CTCACATTTGGCCAGTTGGGTGAGATCAGATGGCATCGGCCTGGATTATGAATGCGGCGAGGGCGGCTGCAATCTGTCGGTACGTTTAAATTTCCATGTAAAAATCCATTTCGTATACAGGATTTTCTCACTATTATAATGCGGTCAAAGTTTTCTGCTACTTTGGCGTGTTTTTATGGTTAATATTCCGATAAACGGACAGTTTCCAGTTCTCCAACTTGTTTCTATCCACAATTAAGCCGTTGGTAACTTCCGATGTTCGTTTCATTGTGTCGGGTTTGGATGCGGTTTCCAGTGCACTGTGATGAGCTCCAATAAAGGCGAAACTGTAATCTAGGGCTTCCGAGTGTACAGTTGACTGGATAAACCGAGAATTGTACGTGAAGGTGAAATTCGAAAGATATCCAGGTCAAATTGATTTTATATTTGCTTGAGTGCGAATCTCAAATTCAGTAAGCAGTCTATTTTGTTTTTGATTGCATTCAGTTTTGTGGTGTTCTTAGTTCCTTGTCTGTATTCGGAATCGTTTTCGTTGCGTAATGCCATCCTTTCTCTGTCACATGTTCAGTTGACCCTAATTCACACCATAAAGTTTTGCTTTTTATGTCTTTTGAATCTACAATCTGCAAGGAGCAGAATTTTCGTGCCCCCCCCCTCCTCCCCTTCTGTTTTCAGGCTGGTCAACGCCAACTTGTCTGCCTGGCTCGGGTATGTCTGTCCTCGGGGGGCCGTGTACGTCTCCTCATTCTCGATGAGGCGACAGCATCCATGGATCCAGTAACAAATAATTTGGTGATGCAAACAGTAGTTGGTGACTTGTTCCGAGATGCAACTGTCATCATTATAGCACATCGGTTGGACACTGTCCTCGACACAGACCTGTAAGCGGTATCTTGAATCGTGTTGTTACTTGTTTCCCCTTTTCTTATTGCTGCCAAACTTAGAAATGAAAACATTTTAGTCTTTAGATCGCCCTATTAGCTTTTAATATTTTTACAGTTTCTCCTATTTAAAACCAATGAGTAGATCCGCTCCGGTGAAGGGAAACGCGGCCAAATAACATGCGACGGTGGAATACAGATAGACGCTGAAGGCTACTGCTCTTATATATTCAGGTGCTCTATCACCGGGGGGATTAAGACATAGGTTTCAGCTTTTGAAGGCCATCATCACTTAAAGAGACTTAAAGTAATATGTTGGGGTCATCTATATGAAAATTATTCCCTATTAGTCTAGAAGCATGCGAAGAACTATAAAAGATGTGTTGAGATGCTTGCAAAGTTACCGCCTGAATGATGGCGATAACCACCGCAATGGTAACATGCCTGTTTGTTCGCACTGAAGATTGACTTAGTCAACAATGACACACACATTGTTGTGTTTTTCCACACTGCGTGTTTGGAAAACAAAATGCAGTTTGAATATCTGATTGTCTTGCATCACTGCATCCTATTCTCCGTGATCTCGCTTTTCCAACATCAAAATGGTTCACATTATCGATAATTGTTTTCCTTTACACAGTATACACATATCTGGGATGAACAGAAGTGTAACAAGTTTTGTTCCCTACACCGGTTGTTCCGTCAACGGCCTGAGGGAAATCCTTGATAGATTGCATAATGTTTTCCATGATGTTCCAATGCTATTTTTCTAAAACACCATCGTATAAAAAACAGTAGAAGGGTTAAGGCCGATAGCCACGGGGATCCGCTATCCAATTATGGTAACTTACAATCTGAGCCCGACAATTTGTGAGAGCGAACCAGATATCCCCCCCCCATATCCTTAGGTTTTGGAAAAAATGATAGCTCTACTGCGTGCCGCCAAAGATGTGTGGTGATAACCGATGGCAAACCTGTGTGCTAGATAATATCCAAATAACTGAACAGATCTACCATGTTATCTGTTCACAAAGTTTTGTATTTTCTATTTTTCAGTCAAACCGTTCTCATGAATGTGCTCACGTTCTGTATCTTTTTCATAAGTTCCCAACTGCTACTACTTGGTCTTAATTTTAAACAAACTCCTTTTGAGGAGCGGCACTTCTAGTTCGTTTTTATGGGTAAAATTTGAACAAAACGCAACAGAGTTAAATCAATGCTCGATTTGTAATTATCGCACAACAAGCAGTGTTCGAAAAACTTACTGAAACATTTCTGTATAAGCAGGAGTGGTTTTACGGCTGTTACTGGCTATCCGATGTAAATATCTGGTACTCTTCTATCAAGTCATTCTCTTTTAGTTAGCAGAGAAACAAAGAGTATTGGAGTAATTGCTCGATTGCGGAGATACCGTGATACATGGTTGCTTGAACCCAACTGTAATTGTCCTTCGTACTAAATATAATCAGCTTGCGCACGTACATGAAAATGCTGGTCCACAGATAATTCTTTAAAGTCCACATGTTATTCTTTATCTTTTCTTTTTCATCATTTTATTTTCGTTTATTGAATACATAATTATACAATTTTAAGAAAGAGGGAAGCGGCCAATCAAACAGATGCAATGCAGCACAACGGAGAAAGGCAAGAGTTGGTGTTTTATCATTTGGCCATACGCCCTCCGGGTTCCCGTATTCGTTGCCAGTGTGCATTTCTATGACCAGGAAATGGCCGATGTATGGCTAATTTTGATCATGGTGCCGGTAAACTGTAGTCGTGTCGTTCCTGTTGTTTCCGACCACATTTGCGTTCGCATTTGATCGTGCTCCCCGGCATGCCTCAAAGTCTTCGTGATATATACCATTCCTGATTGGTAAACGCCACCCTACGTGGTTGAGCACGGGAACGATTAAGTCACTCACCAGTGCAGTGGTTTCACACCTAGCTGAAACAAATCACAATGTGGATGTGTTCGAGGTTTTCCGAGCCCAGTACAAAGTCAACGGGTGATTATAGAGACAGGTTCCCTCTCGGGTGCTGGCTACAGCAGAAGAGGTGGGCATTCACCTGCATAATCCCCCTCTGTGTTCCCAAAACAATTTGCACAAGCGCTAAAGCTTCCCTGAA